TAATTTGAATACGACTTCACATCAAATGCTTATAATTGGAGACATTTCTCGCATTAATTTATACGCAAATCAATCGCATTGTGTCGACAGTCCCTCACTTCAAAAGTATTGCTTTTGTAAGGATTTGTTATGAATTATAATTTATTAATAAGAAAGTTGAAATAATTAAAAATCATTAACTTATAATAATATTACTTAAAACAAAAACAAAGTTATTAAAAATTGATACAAAATTAATTTGTTATACATAATTTGCAACTATGTACGTTTAAATTTGAATGTTATTGGTATGGTAACAATACGTAACATACAGTATATGGTAGAATCTATCTATTAAAGGAAATATTTGAATAGGTTTTGAATGGATAATCCGATTTTTAATCTGTTTTCACCAAAATGTAGCTGGATAATTACGTAATCAAATGGTATAGTATTTGCCATAGAATATCACCAGGATAAATTAGTAATTTAATTTCAAAGTTTTGCCAACATTCCTCATTGAAATTACATGGGGATTTTACATCATTTCTCTTAATTTACTCTAAACTCCCTAAATATTCATATACCTGTATCTTGGTCATTTTTATTGCCATTTTTGAAATTCCAACATCATTCTGTTTGGCAATAAAATGCACTTTTTAACATGTTATGAATTTTTAAAAATTACCAAAAATGTGTTTCTAACATTTTAACCATAAGGCCTAGAACAAATTTGAATACCTCATTGGAAAGAGCACAAAAAAATAGTCCAGAATAGAATTTAACATTTATTTTAAATTGACATTTCAATAGGCAAGCTAGCTTAATTTAACTAAAAAAATGTTATTGTTATGATTACTATTATAATTTTATTAAATTTACAAAATCTTAATTAAAAATTTGTATTTAAAAACTGATCTAGACTATTTTTTTGTGCTCTATCCAATGAGGTATTCAAATTTGTTCTAGGTCTTATGGTTAAAATGTTAGAAACACATTTTTGGTAAATTTTAAAAATTCATAACATGATAAAAAGTGCATTTTATTGCCAAACAGAATGATGTTGGAATTTCAAAAATCGCAATAAAAATGACCAAGATACAGGTATATGAATATTTAGGGAGTTTAGAGTAAATTAAGAGAAATGATGTAAAATCCCCATGTAATTTCAATGAGAAATGTTGGCAAAACTTTGAAATTAAATTACTAATTTATCCTGGTGATATTCTATGGCAAATACTATACCATTTGATTACGTAATTATCCAGCTACATTTTGGTGAAAACAGATTGAAAATCGGATTATCCATTCAAAACCTATTCAAATATTTCCATTAATAGATAGAAGCTACCATATACTGTATACTGTAGTAGTAATTTGGATTATATAATTTTATATAAAAAATTATTTATTCAAAATAAATAATATTATAACAATATATAGCATAACTAGGCATATACCAAAATAAACTCGGTCAAACGCAAACTGTACTATCATTACAAAAACCAAGTTGATGGAAACACACATTATATAACATATGTCTCACTGTATGTATGACGTGATTGTCGATCGTAGGGATCGCATGGTTTGCGGAACTCCTGTCCCTCGGAATGAATCCATTTGTTGGCAATCCATTTGTGTCCCACGAGTATAGGACAGGCGCTGTGATGCATATGTCTGTCCAATTGACCTGATTTATCGAAACTATACCAAAACCCGGTCGAGTATTTCGTGGGCCATACGGTCACATTGAGCTCCGGGAACACACCGACCCCACCGGCGCCCACATCGTTCAGGAACGTGATCCACGTGGCCATGACATCCCTTTCAAAGTACGGTGCGTTTTTTGGGGGTAAATCACGTCGTAGTGGTCGTCGTTATAGCCGCCGACCCTATACTTAATAGGTTTGTATGGTTCGGCATAATCCGTGTTAAGGCCAGTGATGGCACCGATACGTCGGCTGATTGTTTGCAGGAGTTTGTGGTGTCTGTCCGCGAGTTCGCAACGCCTGAACAGTCGCCAGTTCCCCGGTATGCGGTCTTTATGGAGTGATGGCTGAGCCAATGATATGATCGTTTGTGTCTCGGTTTCATAAGGAAGTCATGGATTACAACGATTTGCGGACTTTTGTACATCTCTTCCACTTGAATGCGAGTCAACTGTAAAAACGGTGTTTTCGTTGTGTTTAAGTGAAAACACTTGAGTTTAGAGGCAATCGAGTCATTCATAAGCCTTTCTCCGCGACATAATTCATATGTATTTTTAGTTTTTAGAAAAATAGGTTTTTCTTTGAAGGTATTCGTGTCGTTAAACAGTTTGGTCTCCGATATCAACTCATTTGTCTCGATGTCTGGCTTTATAGCGGCCGACAGTCTCTTATATTTTTGGGCTTCACTTGGTTTTCCAATTTTCAATTCACAAAACGACAGGTATTTTAAAATGTCTGCAATTGTCTCATCGCTGGTCATGTCATCCAATCTTTCGACCGCTTCTGTCAACCATTGCTTTGCATTCAAGTACTCGTTGTTATCATACGTTTGTTTTCCAATCAAATAGCAGTCGAAAGCATTTAACGCAACTTTGGATTGATTTTCATATGAAGTCACTTCAGCTCCGGAACTGGTCTTATATCTAATGAATCCATTCACTAATGACTTGATATCCAAATCATAAGTATTGACGAGACTTATCACTCCATACGCGGCGTCTGTCCAAAAGATGTCAATTATTTTCATTAACATCTCTATTATTAACTAAAACTTCTTTTGAATACCTGTTAACTCCTTATTAGTGATAATCTCATGACTACTGGACACTAACTTCGCGTCAAACGTGACATTCAATGCATTTGTATGGTTAGAGTACCCACCGATTTGTCTCATTTGGACATCACTTAAGCGCCGGTATTTTGTTTGCAAAAAATCGGTCACTTCTTTCCAGTCGATAGCCATTCGTCTGATGAGGAGATATACGTCGAGTGGATGTCCTAAAAGTGAGCCCTCGGTGTCGCCTTTCAGTGCAATTGATTTCAAACTCAATGAGTTGTCTGTCAGTCGTCTTATGCGAGAATTGAGGACCTCTTCGGACACCAAATATTCACTCAACGACTCAATCATTGCTTTTTCTTGCGTTAAGAGATTCCCTAGTTTTGCGAAATCACTATTAAAACCATTGAATCTCAATGTATAATACAATACGAAACTTATCATTAAGAAACCCTTCATTTTGATCACAAAATATGTTTAACTATTTTCTTTGTAATTTAAAAAAGTAAATCAATGTC